GAGAAGAGGAGAAATGGCTACATACTGCTGTAAAACCGGGCCTTCTCCACAGGTTTAGGGAATTTGCTTAGACTGAAAGCTGGGAAGAGAGCCCAAGTCCCGGTATCTAACTCTGCTGCGGCTGGTGTTCTCTGTGGAAACCCGTGTAGCCGTGCCGCTGAGGTGAGAGTTACGGCGTTTGCTGTATCCCCGGCCAACGGCTCCCAGGTCCTGTGGGGATTATAGTCACTGTGAGGGGAAGGCATTCTGCTCGTGGAGTATTCTACTCATGGAGCACGTAAAGAAGAAAGTCCAAAAGGCTGAGCTATTGCAGTTGAGTTGGGGTGCAGCCCAGTCAACTCTTCACTTTCTTGCTTTTAAAAGTTATTTAGTCACTTTCCTCTCATGCCGTCAGTTTCCTAACAACTTCTTCCATGGTGTTTTCCAAAAACCAGAGTCCATCCCCTCTTCCCGTTCAGCCTGATGTGTGAATCAATCGCCTGGCCGCAGTGAACAGTCACTGAGAGGACAAAGATCTTCATTCGTCTTCCTCGGAGACGCATCCTTCACCCCTCAGCTTTGACCTCCTGTCTGAGAGCTTGTCAGTTCAGGATTAACTGTAAGCATGATTTGATTTTCTGTTGGAAATTAACCTTGAGTTACTAATTGGTCTCCATTTCAAACAATTCTTTTAATTTGGAATGAACATACCAATGTGTTCTGGGATCCCATCAGGTAACAGTTAAAAAGGAGCAGAGACATGTCTTAAATACTGTAGGGCTGACCTGGCAGGAGAGCTCCCTCTTAAAACAACTGCCCAGCTGTAACCAAAAAGAGAACTAAACTCAGTTACAATCAATAACAGCTACTGGGGCAGAAGAGAGCTGTGGGTGGAAAGATTAGAGTCTACCTTTTCAATGCTGGACTTGAAAAAATTTTAAGTATAACATGAGGAATAGGGAGGGACAAGAGGATAGTCTTTCAACACAGGTTAGAAATCAGAGAAGAGATTGAACCTTATTTTTCCCCACTATTCCTTCTCTTCAGGAGGGAAAGCGTCCATGGATCAGGGGAAAGCCAAAAGCCAGCATGTATAGTCTAATTCTCATTAATCCTACAAGGTGAACTGTCCCAGCCACAAGGAGTATCACTGTTGCTGAAAGAGCCCTTTGCCATTGTTACCTTTTGGACACAGTTTAAACCCCAATCTCATACTATCTGTGGTCCTCAAGGATTTTTTGCCATTTTTATGAGTTTGAAGGTGTTAATCTGACTGATTTGATCCAGTCCTAACTTTGTATGTGCTATCTAACCTCTTGCTAGGGTTGTGTTTGGGCGCAGTGGTTTTGCCTTCTGATCCAAAACACTGCATTTTACTTCTGAAGTTGCCTTCCAGGGCTGTCCAACTGGCTGAGCTCTGGCGCAGTAACCAAGCTGGGTAGGTTGCTCCATTTAATTCCAATTGTGAGAGCTGGGCAGTTTTGTAAAAGTCCTTTGGGGCTACTTTGGATGGAGAAAGGACCCATGAACAAATTGTTTTGATTTGCTCCAGGAGGCTTAGCTAACAGATGTTGGCTGGGTCCCTACTTTGAGGGCTTTTTATTGCATATTCATGAGCTGACCTTTTTAGCCACTTCTAATGCAGGAAGGATGGATATCTACATTTTGTTTGCAGTATTAGGAATATAAAAGGTTGCCTACATGACTGAATGTCAGAATGGATTGGGGTTTATTATCTCAAGTTCTTTCTTTCTAAGTTTCTTCTGAAGCCCTTCTGTGTTCTGTCTGCATCTGCTGTGTGGTGGCCCCCAGTCCCCTAGTTTCTCTAGCAATTACTGTTTTTCAAGGTAGAGTCACCACAGTATGCAGTGGGGAGAAATGACAGTCTAAATTAAGAGGCTCTCACAGACTTGGAAGATGATAATTTGTCTGTAACAAAACTCCTCATTAGAATACTGTTAATTTCCTTTCTGTGACAATTATAGCACAGCACTAGCTCATATGTGCAATGTGCAGAGATATTTCCCTGGAAAAAAAACCTATCGTTACCACTAGTGAAAACCATTCCTTGGAGAAAAAAAATGAACTTGTAATTTTGCAGCAGCTTTCCAGTTTAGTGGGAGTTTGGTGCTAAGGTAAGATTCTGGGGGTTCTCCCTGCTGTTTATTGCATTTGTGTCAGACTTCATGGTTAGCATTTTCCCGGTAGCATCTGGAATCAGAGACGATATAGAGCTCTTGACATGGCAATCCCCAACTGTGTGGAACCTGTTACCCCTGAAATTCAGCTCATTTGTTCTGTCTTCACTTTAAAAAACTCGCCTCCCTCCTCCCTAAAGACATCTTTAAATGATTGCTGTTTCTTTCTGTTGGCATAGCATATTTTTGCTTATCCATCTGTTTTGAAGTTTTGATGAGGTTTAGTTTTTTAATCAAAAAGAGATTGTTTTTATAATAGCTGTTTAGTGCCTGGGATATTTTGGCAGGGGTGGTGTTGTATGAGTAAAGTGGGTTAATGCTTCTCAAAAGTGCTGGATTTGCTAGGCTGTTCTTATGGCTTGGGAGAGCAGGCTGGACAGGCTGTAGGCAAGCAAGAAGGGGATGCTGTGCTGAAGGAATCACCCTTATTTAGCTAAATAGTCTTCAAAATACTGGAAGGGCCATTTCTTTAAAAAAATATTTTTTTGGCTAGGATTGTGATCAACTGGACTCAGAACTATGAACAGAGGGAAGATTTTTACCTTAGCATTCCTTGAAGATAACAGGTTCCTTTGTAACGTTCCTTGAGTGAGGATGGGGCATCTGGACAGTACTACAGGATAAGGTTATCATCCTCACTCTTCTATTTGTTCCCAAAATGCAGCTCATTTGCAGGATTGAGATCTCCTGCTGGTCTTGCCAAGGGATCAGATCAGGTGACAGAGGAGACCATTCCCTTTACTTGACCTTGCTCAGCTGTGTGGGATGATATTTTAGCCCTTGGCCCTGACCTTAATTAGTCCCAGCCACGCTGAAGTGTGGAAACCTGCTGTTCCCTGGTGGCTGTAGGTGGGTGTAGCTCATGTGAGCACATGGAGAGAACTTGGCACCGTTCCTCTTTTCCAGCAGAAAAATCTTTTAGTAACTAAGAAGCTAGGACCCAGAAGGTAAGAGCATGGGCCTGTGTGGTTCCCCATCACCGTGTGGGACAAATTTGATTCAGCTCAAAAGTAATACACAGTATGGAGCTCCAGACAGCTGTGGATGGGAGGGACAATCTCTCCTGTGTGCTCTGCTACTGCTTGGATGGAAGATCCAGCTTTTCTTGCCGTTTGTCTTTTAAAACAAAATTGTAGGGAGAAGAGGGACTTGTATCTTGGCTGCGTCCTTGAGGCTGAGGTGTGACTGAGCTGGTGCTGGAGCTCTGGCTGGTCTGTGGTGCTGGCCCCTCTCTGCCCTGGCTGGGTCAGGCTCTGGCAGTCGGTGGAGCAGAAAGCAGGGGCGCTGGCACCGTGTGGATCCGCCTGGCGCTGCTTGCCCTCCCCCCTTGCCAACCTGCTATTTCGGTACTTGATTGGAAGAAGCTAAAACTGCTGGATTTTTGCCTTCAGTCAAGGCATTCCTCAAGTTCCTCATCCAGGTTCCAGATGGTTAAGATACCCATCTTGACACATTGGAACAAATAATGACGGTAAAGAATTTAAAACACCACCAAGCGAATGGTGGGACGCCCCACTCGCCCGGCGCGCCTCGCCAGCTGCCCGCACTCGCTCAGTGAGACCAAGAGGGTCAGGACCCCACGGGTGGGCATCTGGGAGCGGGGTCGGAGGGGGCGAGGGCAGGAAGAAGGGGCTGAGACGGAGCTGAGACCCTCTCTGCCGGGCCCGGTGCCGAACCTCGGGGACCCCGCTCCGTGGGGAGGCGGTGCCCGGGCGGGCTCTGCCGCCTCCCCCCCCACGGCCAGGGGCGACCCGGGGCTCCCCCCCCAGCTCCTCGCCGCCGCCCAGCCCGCATCCTCGGACGTGCTGCAGCTCCGGGCTCTGCCTCCGAGGACGCGCAGCTCCGGGAAGGGCAGGTTCCCCCCCAACACCCCTCCCGCCCCCGGGCCGG